GACCCCCCCCCTCCCCCCCACCGAAAACAAAAAGGATAAAAACAGGGTTTTTACAAGAAGGGGAAACATAGTAAACATGAAGATGCACAACATCAATAATCAGGGCAACAATTGAAACCTACAATGAAATGCTCTTTTATATCCTTTAACTGACAAAAATTGAAGTCTGACTCCTAAGTGCTGGCCAGGATATGGAACACGAATAACCCTTATACAATGCTTGTAGGAGTGTAAAAATATTACAATAACTTTGGGAGGAAAATGTGGCATTATATTTTAAAACTGAAAATCAAGGAAGTCCTAGCCAAAGCAGTCAGGCAAGAGAAAGAAATAAAAGGCACCAAAGTAGGAAAAAGGGAAGTCCTATTTTCTCTGTGTTGATGATGATTCTGTACCTAGAAAACCCCAACGATTCCACCAAAAGACTCCCAGACCTCATAAATGACTTAAGCAAAGTCTCAAGATGCAAAATCAATGTACAACAATCAGCAGCATTTCTATATACCAGTAACATTCAGCTGAGAACCAAATCAAGAATATAATCTCCTTTACAATAGTCACCAAAAAAAAAAACCAAAAAAACAAAAAAACAAAACTAGGACTGCTGAAATACTGCTGAAAGAAATCATAGGTGACACAAACAAATGGAAAATCAATCAGTGTTCATGCACTGGAAGAATGAATATCATTAAAATGTCAATATTGCCCAAAGCAATATATAGATTCAACACTATTCCTATCAAATTACAAATGTCACTTTTGACAAAATTAGAAAAAAATCATTCTAAAATTCATACGGAACAAAGCAAAAAGAATAAAGTGGAAGGTATCACATTACCTGACTTCAAACTATACCACAAGGCTACAGTAACCAAACCAGCATGGTACTGGTACAAAAATAGACACAATAGACCAATGGAACAGAGTAAAGACCCCTGAAATAAAGCTGCACACCTACAACCAATTGATCTTCAACAAAGTTCACAAAATAAATAATAGAGAAAGTATACCCTATTCAATAAATAGTGCTGGGAAAACTAACCATATGCAGAAGAATGAAGCTGGACACCTACTTCTCACAATACACAAAAATTAAGATGAATTAAAGACTTAACTGAAAGACCTCAAGCTATAAAAAGCCTAGAAGAAAACCTAGAAAATACTCTTCTAAATATTGGCCTAGGCAAAGAATTTATGACTACATCCTCTAAAGCAAATGCAACAAGAACAAAAGTTGACAACTGAGACCCAACTAAACCAAAGAGCTTCTGCATAGCAAAAGAAACTATCAACAGATTAAACAGACAACCTACAGAATGGGAGCAAATATTTGCACACTACACATCTGACCAAGGACTAATATCCAGAATCTGTAAGGAACTTAAATCAGCAAGAAAATAACTACATTAAAAAGTGGGCAATGGACATGAACAGACACTTCTCAGAAGACACACGAGCAGCCAACAAACATGAAAAACTTCTATCATTAGTCAGTAGAGAGATGCAAATGAAAACCACAATATCAGCTCACACCAGTCAGAATGGCTACTGAAAAGTGAAAAAAAACAAAAAAGATGTTGGCAAGGTTGTGAAAAAAAGAGAATGCTTATACACTGTTGGTGGAAATGCAAATTAGTTCAGCCCCTGTGGAAAGCAGTTTGGAGATTTCTCAAAGAACTGAAACTAGAATTATACCATTTGACCCAGCAATTGCACTACTGGGTATATACCCAAAGGAAAAGAAATCATTCTACCAAAAAGACATCTGCACTCGTTTATTTATCACAGCACTATTCACAACAGCAAAGACATACAATCAACCCAGGTGCCCATTAGTGGTTGACTGGATAAAGAAAATGTGGTGGGCAGGCACGGTGGCTCATGCCTGTAATCCCAGCACTTTGGGAGGCCGAGGCGGGTGGCCTGAGGTCAGGAGTTTGAAACCATCCTGGCCAACATGGTGAAACCCTGTCTCTACTAAAAATACAAAAATCAGCTGGGTGTGATGGCGGGCACCTGTAATCCCAGCTACTCAGGAGGCGGAGGCAGGAGAATCACGTGAACCCGGGAGGCGGAGGTTGCAGTGAGCCGAGATTATGCCATTGCACTCCAGCTGGGTGACAACAGCAAAACTCCATCTCAAAAAAAAAAAGAGAGAAAAAAAAAATGTGATACATACACACCATGGACTACTACACAACCATGGAAAAGAATGAAATATTATTTGCAATAACATGGATGCAGCTGGAGGCCATTATCCTAAGCGAATTAATGCAGAAACAGAAAACCAAATACTACTGCATGTCCTCACTTTTAAGTGGGAGCAAAACATTAGATAAACATGTACATAAAGATGGAAGCAATAGACACTGGGGATCCAAAAAGCGGGGAGCAAGAGAGGGGAGAAAGGCTTGAAAAAATACCTATTGGTTACTATGTTCACTATTTGAGCAAAAGGATCATTAGAAGTCCAAAGCTGAGCAGCACACAATAAATCCACGTAATAAGCCTGAACATGTGCCCCTTGAATCTAAAATTGTAATGAAAACTATAACGATGACCTGGCAATTCTACTCCTCGGTACAGATTTTAGAGAAACTCTTAAATCAGTAAACATGTACATAGATATACATAAGCAGTATATTTTTATTAGCAAAACAGCCCAAATGTCCATCAACAAGAGGATGGATAAATTGTGTATACTTTTATAATGGAATACTATACACAATAAAATTATGCATAAACAAGGATAAATCTTAGAAATGATGTTGAGTGAAAAAGCCAAGTCTCAAGATACAATTGAATATTTAAAATATTTGATAAATGGGATATTAAATTCATAAATATATAAATCAGTGTACAAATCAATTCATTTTATTCTTTACATAAAACTTTATCAAGTGATAGAAGTAGCACCAACCATTTATCAATCACTAATAATTTTCAAGTTGTTTAAACAAATGGGTTGGTATAATCTGTTTTATATGGCTGTCACCAGGTAAATGACGCCCCTGTGATTTGACACAAGGAACTGCAAACTCTTCCAGTGACTTCCCCCATTCAACTGATCGCTATCATTAGTTTACTATCCACTGTCTGGCACCTGAAGAGAGGGGACAGGCAACAGATCGCCATCTCACTTCCTACCCTCATCTCACCTCCTACATCAGCACAGCACCATCTGGGTGCCGGCTATATGCCAAGAGCCAGTGGCAGGAGCTCTCAGCCATAGAAGAGAATGGAGAAAAGGGTGAGAGGGAGTAAGATGGTTGGGGATTGCTGATCTTGCTTTGCCAGAATTGGAAGCTTGTAGTTTTTATCTGTCTCACTCCACACTCAGACAGTGTTTCCACTGCACCCACCTGGTAATATTCTATTTGTTAAACTGGGTGATACATTTATCTTATAATGGTTCATAACATACATATACATATAAACTCCTCAGGGTGGAGATTCTGGGTTTACCAAATCAGGTCATCAAATGCTCCCATTCTCCCTAACAGTGCTGTTACAGCTCACAAAAAACAAGTGAGAAATCTTGTCAAACTGAAATTGTGTTGAAAGCAAGACACGAATTGTGTCTTAGAATTCCCCCATTTGTATCAAAAGAAAGAAATGAGGCTATTTTGAAATGGCTTATTCTTAGGAACCTCAGTCAGTTGCCCAATACACTGTCCCCTAAAAGCTAACATTATCTAATACTTTCAAGGGTGGTTGTCCAACTGCTCTCAGAATTTACTCTTCAAAATGTATGTTTGCCAGTTTCCCAATCTTTTGGTGCCTCTTATGTTTTCTGTAGTTTCCCTAATTCCTGACAGTGACTATCCTCAGGAATACATTGATCCTAGGTATAGGAACTCATAGAAATAAGTTCATTGTTTCTTAAGCATTTTTTTTTAAACCTAAGCTAATACAAGTTGAGAATCCCAAATTCTAAACTCCAAAATCTGAAACTTTCTGAGCACTGACATGATGCTCAAAGGAAATGCTGACTGGAAAATTCTGGATTTGGGGATTAAGGATGCTCAACTGGTAAGTATTTAATGCAAATATTAAAAAATAAAAAAAAAAACAACAACACTTCTGGTTCCAAGTATTTCAGATAATACTTACAATCTGTTCGTTCTTCAAAATAAAATCCCTTTCAATGAGCCTGGAGAACCTTTTCATTTGTTGTTATTGTTACAAGGATGTTATCTTCCCCTCACAAATAGGATGTGATTTCCCTGATCTTAGTTTCGATAATAAAAGCCTTTTTCATTGTTTTGCGCTCCCCACCCCAAATGTCTGTCCATCTGAAGTTTTAACAATTGACACTATTTTCCTACTATTTTGTTTTGTGTGTTCCTACTTCCAAACTTGGGACTGATCTCTAAATTTTCATCTCAACAATCACAGCCTCTCATTGTTCAGCATCTACCCTGAATTTTATTCCCTTTTCTGAGTTTCTAAAAGTTTGCAGTCATAGTTTCATATTTCCATTTTTTAAAAGGTGAATCTTCTGAAATTAGACTTTCTGAAGCTACAGATAATGTGTCACTAATTATGGCAAATGTTCTTCCCATGCTTTGAAATGCCAGGAAGACTTGGGTGTTGTAACTGATCAGGAATCAAGCCAGAGCACAGGAAATGCTGTCCAGCGTGTAGTGGCTAGACTGGGCTATGAGGTACAAGGAAAGTTCTTATGGACGCAGTGGATAGATGGTGTAAAAGGAAAGTCTATGCAACACAGCTACTGGGGAAGAAAGATAAATCCAAATTATTGCAAGCAATTTAAATTCACTCTATAGAGACAGTGAACTTTTTTTTTCCCCTTTAGGAAAGCTTAGAGAAACCAAAATTAGAATAAAATTTCCAAAACTGCTTTGCAAGAAAAAAAACAGTTGTCCCACTTACGGAATTTGTCATCTACTCTGTATTACCTGAGACTTGGCACATTCAAGAACAAAATCATCACATCTCTGGTTCACAGAGCAATGAAAGATCACACACTAAACACCTTAACAGGCCATGAAAAGATTGTTTTATTCCATGAAAATATTCTCAACAGAGAACACTATCTTTAAATGAAGGATTTACCATTAAGAAATCAACATGTGCACAAAGAGAGTAAAAATTACCAAAAAATTAAAGATTTTTTGGGACAATTCACATGTTCAAAATTTAAGAATGATTTAAACTGTGCAAGTACAAATGTCTTTCCTATTATAATAACCCATATACAGGTTGCACTATTCCACGTCAAGGAACTTGCCTCCTACGGAAGCAAATCCTGCTTTTAGAAAAACAAACAGTAGCTTGAAAAGAACAGTTAGTCCTTACAAGATAGTCTTAAACTTTGCCCTCTGTGGCTGTTAGCCAAAAAACCATAAGCACTTCAGGCTTTGTACAGAAGACAAACACAGCCAGATCACATTTCCTCCTCATTGCTAACCTTTAAAATAAAAATAGCACTAGATTTTAAAACTACTTCACGTAGTCTGTCAGTACTGAATAATGTCACATTATATAAATAACCCTGTAACGAGATTCAATATCTAAACTTTATAGTTTACTAGCTGCAAAGGTAATACACTATATGTCAGCTGTGTAACAGTGGTGACTTGATCTTATGAAGGCAGTAACTTTCACACAATTGTCATTTAGCTTTAGTATAACTGGTAGTATGATTCAAATAACACTGGGAAAAAGTTATTAAAGCAGTCACACAGCTTCTAAAATATTGCTTAAAATTCAATAATACACAAACCATTTCACGTTCTTTCTCCCCTCAAAACAGTAAAGAATCAAATTAATGAAGATTCAGTGGTACAAATAACCCCCCACCTGCCCCATCTCCCTATTACAACACCACTAAGAAATTAGTTAAGATACAAGTCATTAACAGAATCACAAATGCGAGGCAGGACACCATGAGCAACAGGAGCACTAACAACAATCCTATTTACAAGTATAAACATACAGAAATTCCATTTTACAAGTAAAAGTGCACATAGATCATTACAAAGTTTCACTAAATTTTATCAGGTTCAAACAAAACCATCACGTGGAAACAGACTATCATTGTAATTATCAAACATGATCGTCATAACCCCAAATAAAAAGACAATTGGGGGAGGTCCATAAAACTTCTCATAAAAACACTGAGGAAAGTAAAATGGACTTGGACATGTCTTTAGTTTGATGCATAAATTTGAAGATGCACCATTGTATATGGTAGAGCTCTAATAGCCACCTACCGAGGCTACATCGGTAGCTGCAGTAGTGCTGCAGAGTTAAAGGAGGTCGCACTGAGCTGACACATAAAGCCCTTTGTGGGATACTGTAGTGGTAGTGTTGGCAATCAACAGATTTAGGCACTCTAGTTTAAGGCAGCATTTGAATGGAAGCAGCTGACTTTTGACAACAGTCCTTTGTCTTGAGGTGGTGAGTATCTTCTGTGTTTATTATGCCAGGATTTCAGTGCTGACTATAGATTCTTCCCAGACTGAGGTGCTGAAGATGTATCACGTTTCAAAGAGTTCTTTCAACTGGGCTGTAGGCTACAGCAGAGATGTTTTCTTTTTCTTATCATAAATACTTCAGGTTCACAGGCTACTTCTTCGTAATGCCAAAACTGGAATGTTTGCAGTGGGGAAGTTATAGCAGTGTGCACAAATACTAGGATGGAAACATTAGTGCTGGAGATGTTTGACAAAGTGATTTGCACTACAAATGTAAAACAAAACAAAGGCTTTGACAAGAACAAGGGAATCTAAAGACATGCCTGAAAAATCTAGCTCAGTCACTCTAGACATGCAACAGGATGTTAAGCAAGCACGGAGGTGGCACAGGCAGACACTGACAGATGGCGAGGATCTGACAGATAGTGGGTCTAAAAGCCAATTAAAACAGAGCTGGGAGGGAGACAATCCTGTTGGGACGCTAATGTAAGACACATTTTTTGACAGCTCTGCATTCTTTATTGATTAGACAGCAATAAAATAAATAGAAAAATGGTACACTATTGTTGGCTTTTTCTTTTGTGGGAATAACTGTGAACTAGGAACTTAAGGGTTGGTATGATTTTTAAAAACAATGTATGGAAATGCTAATGAAGTTAGTAAAAAATAATCATGTCTACATGCACTCATGCAACTTGCTTCTCTCACTCTCTTTGAGCCTGACAACTCTAATACCCTCCCCCCAAAAGCAGCTGCATGTAACCTCCTTCAACATCTTGCCCATTTCCTCAGAAACCCTCTTCAGGAACCTGCAGTCCAGGAGGAAAAAGAAAAGAACAATTACTGAAGACCTTTGGTAAAACCAAAAGGGGTGTTCAGTTTAAAGTGCCTGTCCCAAATGTCTCTAATCATTTTACAGTCAGCTACTGAAAATACCAGGAGAATTTAAAACATAGGCAAAATTAAAAACCAATCTTACTGCTTCTTCACTTTACTTCCCCACACCACTGACTCAGGGTGTGATCACATAACCAGCACTGCACAGTCCTTGACTGCACAGTGTTTCCAACAATGCTTGCTGAAATTAACTGGAAAAATTTATCTATCCTAATAACTAACGATTCAGCTAAAATAACAAAATGCCCTAAAGGGTGGTATACGTATCTTCCTTTAACCCAGATAGTCAAAAATTTTCTCCTTTAAAATAAAATCTGTCAAAACTTCCCCTCCATTCAACATTTCCTCTATCTTCAAATGTGTATTTTTCTATATAACTATGTATTTTCCTGTGTAACTGCTAAATGCTAAATAATCACTAGAGTGGTATTTCCCAAAAGATATTTTCAAGATCAAACATACAAAGTATAAGATTAGTTTGGAAGGAAGCCTGTAAATTATTGAAAATTACCAGTTAACCTCAAAATATTTTGAGGTCTCAAACAAAATCTCTTTTATTCACCTAAGAGCTAGACCAGGAGATTTATTTTGCAACTCTCTTAAAATCTATTTAAATAGATTATGTGCTACGTGTTTATTTTCTTCCTTTAGGAAACCAAAGTTAAGAAAAGGGAAGAAAATGAAAATGATTTTATTATTTTACCAAATTTCCAACTACTATTTTTCTTCTTGAAAACTGTAGCTACAAACTCAAACTCCTAGAAGAAACCACTCTTTGGGGAGTCGGCTTTCCATGGCATTTCAGAGCAGTTTCACTTATTCAAATTCACTATAGTCACTGTGTTTTCTGAAGTAAAGGGGGCAGAGAGCATTACTATCCATGAATTCCTGCCCAATAAATCAAATTCTATTTGTAAGGCAGAAAAACACAAATCCTTCACACAGACTTAAGCAGGACATAAAGCAAAAGGCATCAATTAAGCTTCACACCAACATTACTCGAACAGTAAAGTGCCACAAAATGTTTCTTGTGGTAATATTCACAAGATCAAGCCTACACTCAGCTCACATAGTGAACAATTAATCTTGGATGCCCTTTAAGTTTTCTTATTTTTTTCAACCTATTGAATGTGTTTTCATTTTATGTTACTCTTTCTATGTCACACACGGCACAAAGGTGCCTGGTTACTTTAGATATAAGTTACTGCACCTTTACTGTTTTTCTCTAGAGTTACATCTATGTATGACGTGGGAACGTAGCCTTCTTCACCGTTCTGTCTCCGAGCTCTTGTCCATCCGTCACCTTTGTCCTCCTCTATAATGTAGAGAACTTCACCTTCTTTCATTGCTAGAGTACCTTCATTATGTCCTAGATGAGAGTTTTCACAAGCGTAATTTAAGAAATGTGATATATTTTTTTAAAGTTACAAATACAACACACAAAATACAATGAAACCCTATTAGATTTCAATGTATCTGGAACTACTGACTCTCATTAGCAACATCTCTATTATGCTTTGTGGTTTACCCAGCACTTTCATATTCATTCTCCCATTTGAGCCGCATAATAAGCCTGCAGGGCTGGATAACATCACCCCCATGTAACAGATGAAGGTAACTGAGCCACAGTGACATTACATGAGTTGACAGAGTATTCTAATTCCTATGTCACTATTCCAACTCTTTACCCAAATTTTAGTATCTTACTATCTAAAAAAATTCATTAGGTATGGATTAGGAAAATAGTAACTAGAGAGCAAAAGAGTGGGAAGAAAGAAGGAAAAAATACCATTTGAAGGAAGAGCAGAGAAAAATACAGGTTTGACTCTAGAGGTGGTAGAAACAGAATGGCCATACACAACTCTTTTACTCTCTATCCCCAACCACCCCCAACCTGCTTAGCAGTAACAATTTTCACAAGTGAATCTTCATTTAACATGTGCTAAATTACTTCCCGACTCTCTAGATTACATTATAGCAAGTGTTTTGTTTTGTTTTGTCTTGTTTTGTTTTGTTTTGTTTTAGAGACAAGGTCTTACTGCCCAGGCTGGATTCGAACTCCTGGGCTCAAGCAATCCTCCCACCACAGCCTCCCAAGTGTCTGGGACTACAGGCACACATCACTGCACTTGGTTGCAAGGTCTGAAATTTAATATATTTTCTAATAAGAAGTTACTAGAGACTTTGCTCAATTTTAAACCAACACGAAGTGAGGAGAAAGACCTTAAATCAGGCACCATCTTACAACAGTTTTTTTATGAAAGTGTTACTCAGCTCTCCTGCTAGTTGAGGGAGAGTATTTTTCAGAGTCCAGGAGAAAGAGGAACTAAAAATCTGCAGGAGAGGGCCTCAGTGCCTTACTTCCCTTCCAGAGTTTGTTCTTCAACTTTCATGGGGTAAGAGAGAGCACAGTCAGTAGCTACTACATTCTCTCCCACTTTCATCTAAACAGGTGGCCTACAGACTTAGTATATGATGATGGCATTCAGCTAACTATGCCTCGTGCCTGTCTCTTAATGTTAGTAAGCTACAAGGAGGAAGAACATGAAGTGGCATCCACCAGCATCCCGCTTCCCGGGTTGGGCTACATGTTCAAGATGTCTCAACTTTGTTTAGGACATGTACACATTAGTAAGAACTCTGGTGAAAATTCTGCATTGACCAAAATTGATAATTAATTAATAATCTGTATTAGGATGCTAGTAACATGGGTAATTTCCTTTTAATTCCATGTATGGAAGAAAAATATCTACATTTATAATACAGTTAAAACAAAAGTATGCATACTAAAGAAATGGGATAATTTTCTGACAACGTGTATTACTTAAATAAGGACACTACAGTGAGTAACTCGATGTAAATACTTTTAAAGAACCAATTTTATCAAATACAATATTATTAAGAAAATCATACCATCAAAAGGGTAGATAGCTTTGCAGTGTCCAATAGCAGGCAAGGGATCATCATCCTCAAATTCATCATCAAACTCACTGTGGTGACCATGCTGTTGGGGTGGCCCACGGACTTCCTGGTTTGCATCATCAGTGTAACTTCCCTCAGGACTGTAAAACAAAAAATTATCTCTGATCAAGTATAATAAACATGAGAATTATATAGATTATTTATAAATTGATATCCTCAGGATCAATTCCAAAAATTAAATATTAATGACACGGTTTCCACTTAAGCCCTATTTTTTTCAAACGTCGAGTATACAAATTACTTCTAATACAAAATGCTGCTTTGCTGAATTTCCTGAAATAAAAAAATTACAAGATTACAATATTCTAGGCACAAAGTATTATTCAGTAAATACATCTCACTATCACCAGGTCTAGAGATAAAACAGAAAAACGTTCTAGACACTTGTCTTCCATCATCCCAAGTTTATCATCCTAAAATTCCTTAGGGGACCCATGCAGACCTATGTTTAGTTCACAAGCTTCAGGTTGAACTGTTTCTATTCTGGATCTGGAATGGCCATCAGAGCAAGCATCTGCATGACCAGTTCACAGGAAGTCCTGTAACCTAATCAGATGTAAGAAATGCACAGAGACTTTTGCTTGGGACTCTTGGAAGAGAACTCACTCTGTCCCTTTTCTACTGGACTTGAACCTGCAGGAATACTCACTTACACCTTTGGAGCCTTAAAATTAAGCCAACACAGTAGAAAGCACAGCTGTGAGGTGGACAGAAATCGAGTTCCGGGGATAACATCTGCGCTCCTAGATCAAGCTCTCCCTAAAGTCAGCCAATGAAGTCCATTTTTGGTTTAAGCCAGAAGGGGTAAAGTATTCACTCTGTCACTGAAAATTAGAAGATTCTCAACTAAAATAAAACATAAAGTAAATTTCCAACTAATCATGGTAACAGGGAAGTTGGTAACTTAAAAAATCCAAAAAAGCAGGTAATACAAATATAATTTATTTTTCTTAAAATTTTTTAAATCAGAGAAAAATGTTAATAATTTTGCTGAAGAATCAAATGACTGAATTAGATTTAATAATGGAAAATTTTACAGAATTAGATTTTAACAGTACTTTCAGTAAGCCTGAAGCCAGAGAAATAACACATGCCAAAGAAATTAGATCCTTTTAATCTGATTTTACCTAATAACAAAAACCAGTAATTTGTGGGTATCTCTTGACAGATTAAAGATACGTACTCTTTCAAGAAGTCATACTATTATTACCACTATTTACTACTAGGTGCTTTAGGTACATTATTTACTTTTATACTAACAAACCTAAAGGGTGGATGTTTTAACCTCCATTTTATACTTCAGGAAATTGAGATTCAGGGAGCATTAAAAATGAACTTGCTTAGATTACACTATAATTAAGTAGAAAACTAAGAGTTGTTACTAGGCCGCTCACATTCTTCTCTAAGATGAATCCTAATTTGTGGACTTTTATTCTGGAAAAAAAGATACAATACATCAAGAAAGAAATGTCACAGTGGTACAGAAACTTAGCAAAGTGTCTTTTGGAAGCTCTGGTCCAAACTAACAATACGTGTTTTTTTCCTTCACAAAACTCTGAGCTATTTGATAGCAAAATTTTTCTTTGGCATAAGCGACCCTAACTCCACTTGAACCTTAAGAAGCTTTCCAATGCCTGAGGAGCCTACGCCCTCAGACTGTAGCTCCAAGAATTTTCTATGTTCCTAGCTCTGTGTTTGGATGCATGACAAACTAGGATTGAATAGCAAGATGAACTTTCCTACTTCACCTGTAATTGTCACTAAAGAAAATTACTTAGGTTCAAAAGACTGAGGTTATTAAAAGCTGAACTTGTTAAATTTGGAAGAAAAAAACGAATTGTATAAAGTTTAGGACAAAAGGGTGAGAAAACTTTGGGGAGAAGAAATACAAATAAAATACAAAAAATGACCTTTCTCGTCCCTGTGTTACAAGATGATTTATGTCACTGCTATGTCTTCTGTCTCCTCTCCCACCTGTTTTGCCTTCAACTTCAGAGAGCCAAGCCTTAGGAAAAAAATAAGCAAACAACTGAGCTCAATAAATACGTTTAAAAGCTCATAAGTTATACTTCTACATTTAAAATGTGTTTGTTTTTATAATTATGTAATTCTTAGAGATGTGAAACCTTTATTCCAAATTGGTCAAATGATCAACTTTATAGCTGATTCAAAAAAACAGTATAAATATTTTTATCTAAATAAAAAACTTCAAGGAGATTAAATAACACACATCACAATAACACTTTTAGATCATAAACCCTAACATTAAATATAAACATTTGAAGATAATTCTAAGAAAAACCAATCTATCATAATGAAGTTTATAAAAATAATTTATCTTGACAACTGCTGAATAACAACTCTACCTCATTCTTATGGATTTCCATTCGTAGGCGGTCAATGTTATTCATGGTCTCTGCTAATTTAGGCTGCAAACTCCCTGGATCCCCCATTTGTGGATTCTTCTCATATACATCTTTCATTTTGTTGAGTGCATCTCTAAAAAAGAGAAGGAAACCACAGAATTAAATATTAACTTCATATGCTTCCAGATAAAAGAGTTTTATTTGACTCTGGGGACTCACACGCAGCTTAATCTTAAGTAGAGTCATATCTTTTAAAGTTTGTCTAACACGACCTGATTAAAGACAATTTGCATAAAGGTGATAACATATATAGAGTCAGTAATTTATCAAGACAATTGGAATACCAAAAGAGAACAGAGTTCATTTATTTCCTGCTTTCTAAACAAGGAATTTTATTTAGATGTATATATACAAACACACACACACACAAAATCAAGGGCTAGAATAACATTCTTCAGCTCGTCATGTCCCAAATCAAATTCATTATATTCCAACTCAGCCACACTATTCCACAGTGTTCCTTAGCTCATACATCATCATTGTCCTCCCACTCACCTCTGCTAGAAATAGGAATGGCAGCTTTAACTTGCCCCCACCCAAAGTCAGTCATTTGCCAACTCCTCTCAACCTACCTCCTATTCTCTAATCATATCACAATCGGTTATGCCTCAATTAGCTGTCCTTGACTCTAACATCTGACACTATTGACTAACGCTCCTCAATACTCTTTTCCTTCATGACTTCCTAGAGGGTACATTTTCTTTTTCCTCTTTCTCACCTCTGCTTTCTCATAATCTCCCTCACTGGCTTCTTTCTCCTTCTTTGTTCAACCTTTAAATGTGTATTACATAAAATGACAAAGGTTTCTTCGCGTCTCTTCCTACAGTCTTGTTTGAGGATGATCCCTTAATTGTTTTAATATCATCTATGTTCAGATGATTTTCAAATGCGTATCTCCAGACCTCTTTCTCTCCTGAACTCTAGATTCATATTTCTAAACTCAACTGGACATTTCCAATATGGACTTTTCACATTTGAAAAATCAACATAAACAAAATCTTTATCTTCGCCCTAAACTTTTTTCTTATTGTTGCAATTAAATCTATAGCTGCAAGCCTTCTTTTTTTTTTTTCTAAGTTTCCTCCATGTTTTCTCTTCTCCAGCATCCAATCAGGAGAAAAGTACAACCTACTTTGGCTTTGAAATGATTCTTTTATCTATTCCTCCTTTCTATTCCCATGGTCATACCTTAATTTAGGCCCTCAGCATCTCTCACCCATATTGTTAAAGTCTTCTATCTCCAATCTCTTTCCTATACTATTTACCCTTCATACAGCTTTCAATTATCTTTTAGCACACAGAGCTAATAATGTTACCCCTTCTCTCAATAACTGGGGACTGTAATACCTACAGAACTCCACAGAAAAGCATTCAGAATTTTTCACAAGTCCTTTACTTCTTCATCCTCAACTTCTATTATTATGCTCCACATAATTTTGAACCAAGTCTCTCTGGATTAGCACTAATTCCAGGCCATGGCAAGAACATTAACATTTCTGTGCCTTTATTCTTGTTTTGGACATGGAGATATCTGAGAAAAATTTGAGTCACCAGAGGTAACATTCAGGTTCCAAGCTGAGGTCAAACCAGTAATACTCTGGCCTTTCTGCTTGTATTCTCATATTCTGGACATGTATCCTTTTTGCAGTCTACTCATTTAGTGCAATGTTTCTCACATTTTTGTGCTTTTTGTTGATCTTGGTGTTTAAAATAGCCCCTAAGCATGGCAATGAAATGCTATCTAGTGTTCTTAAGCAAAAGAAGGACATAATATTATTACTTACAGAGAAAATACATGTCTTAGATAAGCTTTGTTCAAGCATGAGTTACAGTGCTATCAGAAAAAATTCAAAGTTAATAAATCAACATCATATATGAAATAAGGTGTTTTTGCACAGGAACACAAACAAAAAAAGGTTGTGTGTCAATCAGCTGATGGAAACATTGTGACCAGTGGCTACCTAGAACCTAACCCTGTATCTCCCCAAGAGCAATGTTTCAATATTCCATAATTCAGGGTTCACAGTGACTTTACAGAACACAGCTACTGTGAATGAGAATCAAAGGTACTGCAATATTTCATATGATTAAGCGCCACTTCATATCTGATACACTAATTCTTAACATCAAAACTTCAATCTCTCATGCTACAATTTAAGCTCCAATTTTATCCTCAGTGAAGATCTAGCAAGTCACCAATTCACTGTAATAACACTTTAATTATCATATATAATTCTATGTCCATTAAAAAAAATTAAACTAGAGGAAACTTCTTGTAAAAATGAAATAAAAAAGTAAACCTATGTGTGAACAAATATGAAGCTGTTAGTAATCAAGCACTGTCTGCCAAATGTTTTGCTACATACAAAACAGCCTCAGGTTGCTAATGAAATCAATTCACATATAAAAGCAAAATGAAAATGTATCAAAGAACAACAGGTGGTTAGTGTTGGTGAAACTACTCTTGACAATAAAACATTGAGAAATTTTTTGCAAATTAATGAAGGCATAAATATATACTATTAGCATCCAATAAAAATCTGCAACCAAGGAAATTCTCTAACCTATGACAGGGTAACCATAAAAATTTCCAGGGTAGGAGTATAATTTTCTCTCAAAAGATATTTCAATTGGTATATATGATTTTTAAGCCTTCTGTATATCATACTTAAGGGTGTCACTCAAAGTAGATCCTAAAATAAGCAATAATGATAGAGAAAACTTAAAGGAATAATACTTTTGGTCTGATTCCTTCTGTAGTTCTCTGTTAAGTTCATCAATGCGCTGCTGTAGTTTTTTACGTCTCTGTTCTGGTGGCAGATGACTGAAATCTTCTAGTGCTGGGCCCTGAAAAGAGAATCTAAATCATTATAACAGACATTTTCAGGAAACGTTATTTTTAAAATATACCTGCTATAAAATAAGAATACATACCAATCTTAAGTTTAATTTCAAATTTGCCTCAAGCAACCCCTTAAAAAAAATCTACACAGATGTGTGTGTTTATGCGTATATGTTAATGAAACAATGTACTGAAGAAAGAGCTCAAATTTCACTCATTTTATAAAACCATGTAACAGAATAGGTAAAATCATACCCAGATACAGATAACCGGTAGGTAGTATCACATTACTTTCCAATCTTGGCAGATTATAATGAATACATGTAAACCTTCTTACAGCAACAACAACAAAATGGAAACACATAACATTTCTTGTCTATACAGGGTATTGTTTTATATATAACATATCACAACATTTCCAAATAAAACCCATTGCCATGACATTCAGAATGTTACAAATGTTCAAACTGAAAATATGAATATAATTAAGAAACTTACCTCACAAAGACAATCTAATGAAATATACTTTGATACTACATACAGTCTTTGAACGATTGATTAAACCATTCAAAACATACCTGGTCATTAAAAACCAAAGACAGAACTATCCACTGAGCAGAAACTATATTCCAACAAAGAGTGTATTTTCAATTAACCTTTTGTAAACCAAATAACATACTTCAGTTGTTACTGAAAGAAGGATAAAATCCTTCTTTAGGAAAGATCCTTGATGTCTGAAAAATTTTTTAAATTTTGATATTCAAGAAACTATGCAATTTAAGAGAAAGTACTAGTATCTAAATGTAAACATCTGATCCAATTGACATCTTTTCCCTTAAATGTTATTTTAATCACTGTTACTTATGTTATTACAGATTACAACAGAACCAATATTAGCAACTATTGAATCTATTTAATATAAACCTGTATTACTTAAATCTTTATATATACTCCAGAAATTGATGATGCCTGTCACTATTCATTTTCTTTTCAAAATGGTTATTTTAAGAATATTAATATGAGGCCAGGCGCAGTGGCTCACGCCTGTAATCCCAACACTTTGGGAGGCTGAGGCAGGTGGATCACCTGAGGTCAGGAGTTTGAGGCCAGCCTGGAGCCTGGCCAACATGATGAAACCCCGTATCTACTAAAAACACAATAAATTAGCCAGGCGTGGTGGTGGGCGCCTGTAATCCCAACTACTCGGGAGGCCGAGGCAGGAGAATCACTTGAACCCGGGAGGCAGAGGCTGCAGTGAGCCGAGATCGCACCACTGCATTCCAGCCTGGGAGACAAGAGCGAGACTCCATCTTTAAAAAGAAAAAAAAAAAGAAAAGAAAAATGCATATAAATATTCAATTTGTTAAAGTGATGCTAAAAGGAGCTCTCAAAACAAATACATTCTTGCTCTTTGGGCCACTTATGCCTGTAACATATGCTAAATAGCTTTATTTCACCATGTGTAAGAATGAGTCACTTACTTTCAGAAAAGAGAAAACTCACTCCTAGGATGAGCTATAATTAAATGTAAAATTTAATTAATAACAGAATCCCTAGTCTCTTTCCCCAGTGGCCTGTACATTATGGATATTCAACAAGCTTGCTAGAAAAACGCAGGGGATCCTAAGTATTTTTTATTTTTTTTCATTTACCAATCACTAGAAACAAGGATCTCAATCAACCCAATCTGACCTAAATAAATCAATAGTGAAATTTCCTTTGTTGATTTCCTTTAGATTTACTGGTTAATTTGTAACATAAATTTGTCGTTTTTTATCTAATTTGGAGTTGAAGGTTTTTTGTAGAGACAGGGTCTCATTCTGCTGCCCACAATGGAATGCAGTTGAGTGATCACAGCTCTCATGGCTCACTATAGCCTCGAACTCCTGGGCTCAATCAATCCGCCCACCTTAGCCTCCCAAATAGCTGGGATTACAGACAAGGAGTACAAGTTTTGAAAACTAGCATATATATGCCAAAAATAAACTTCCTAATTTATATTTTAAAAAATATTTCTTAAAATCTTGAAAAAGTATTGAATAAGATGAAGAAATGCATGTCAACATACTGTGGGTTTTTTGTTGTTAAAATTATGATAAACTCACAATAATCTACAAGTAAATCTGCCAGAATTCCACGTATCCCTTATCAAACCCTGTTCTCAAATTTATGAACAGTAAATACTGAGGCACTTACATTTTGAATATCCCATTTGGTATTAGAACCCTATTCTTATATAGAATATGAGAATTAAACTTAACTTTATTTCCTATGGATGTTCAGAAGACCTCTGGGACATTTAACAACCTCTCTTACTACAAAGGAATTTATAAAAGGCTGATTCCAACAGTGTAAAAAAAGAGTAATCTATTTTTCAGTAGCTTCCTACACAATAATTTTGGGGTTAGTTCCTAATGTAGATCCATTAATTTGTTTGAAATAAACATACCAAGGAACATCCCAAACCCATACACACCTTCTCTGCCACCGCCCCCGCTGCCTGCCAAACACACACAGGATATTTAGATCATATGTGCTTCTATTCTCCTTCAATAGTACAGAAGAACCAAGGACTAACTCCATAAAGATACTAGCAGGAAATTTTTCTTTCTTTCTGGAAAAATCTAATGATTCTGGTGATAAAACTACAAATCAAATGTATATGATTTTTTTAAAGGCTGTTAAGAAAAATAATATTTGCTAAATTTTCCTTCTGCATAACAAACTGTGGCTCTACCACGTAATCTTTAAAAAATGTTTAACCACAATTTTACCCTCTTCTGTAACATGACAAGGACTCCATTCAATGACATTTAAGAACTTAATGGGTTGATGACAATTAACCACATTATTTTCTAATCTTATGACATCAAGAGTACTGGCATATGCTGGACTATGAAACTATAAAAAGAAAAAACACACAAGGTGAAAACGTGGGATGTAATTTACCACTTGCTTTGAATTAAACAAAACAATGTTCTGAGATTACTTAATGTTGGCACAGTATATAGATCAGCACATAAGGCTTACCATCTTCACCGACCACTGAATAGTTCAATGGAAAACAGAAAGAAATGGTAAATTATTCACAGGAAACCATAATACAGAAGATGCAATAGCCTATTCTTTTTTACAATACTAAAATAAATCACATACATTTCACAATCCAAACAATTATGCCAGAAAAACCATTTTAAGCACATTTTGGAAAAGTAAATTACTTGCAAAAAAAGAAAAAAAAAAGCATACACTGATAATGGGCAGATATTTTCTATGTTTAAGTAAAACTTAAAAATAAACATTCTATCTGTAATCATGCATTTTATTTTAAAGTGAATTTTATGTAAGTGGATTTCACTTCTATAGCAGTTTATTCTCAAATTACTAACATTTGAAAAGGTGAATATGAGCTCTAAGATTAGACATTTAAAAAGAAATCTTACATGAAATATTACAAAAATAGAATGTTCTTTCCAGTGCATTAAAGAAAACACTATTATCTACATTTTTATAGTTCCAAGTACTGTTTGAATTTAAATATACCATGGTTAGGTGAGGGAACATTTTTACTTTCATTTTAAGATCTTTTTAAATGTAGAGATACATTAAAAACATTATTTTCAAAATAGTGAGTTATCCAGATTCAAGTTTCCCATACACATTTCCTAATACATACAAATATATAGGTTGAATTTTGCTTTAAAAATATAGCTTCTATTTTTCAGGTTTTATTTTAAAATCCATATGCTTGAATAACACTAAAAACATAACTTCAATTTATAGAAAACTGATTAAAATGCATTCTTTCTGAAAATATGAAATGACACAGATTCTGAAGAGACCAACCATAGTGCTCTTATACAATAACAATACTTTATATATGTATATATATGTGTGTGTATATAGATATAGATATGAATATGGATATGGATATATCTCCCACATTTTGTGGGTCAGTAGGATTCTCCAACTGGCACAGCATCTATCTAGCATCCCAACTACACACACACACACACATACACACACACGGTGACCCAGAATATGCAACAGAGCTTTATAAAGTTAATCTTCACATTCATCTCAATTGGTGAGCAGTCTCTAAAATTTTTACTTTTCCCTGTTTTCTAAATCATGATGTTTTAAGAGAAGGTGTTGGGGAGATGTCAGGTAAAAAATTCACATTAAAAATATGAATGAATTTTAATAAATAATCTGACAAAAATATCTACCCCTTATCTCTGATGAGTTGGTCACTGCTATGCATTATCTTTCCAAATTAAGTTTAACATTCTTTAGACTGTCAGTATTTTTGAGAAACAAAAACCACAATTTACTTTGCTATGAAAAAACTGCTGGTAAGGAAATAAAAAGGTTTAAAGAAAGATATTCATGGTCTTTCAAAAATGTTATTAAACGAAATTATATACAGGACAAGCAACAAAACATTTAAATTTAAAGTATTTGAATTTGACTTATCTGTTGATAATTTTCACCAGCGAAATTTCTAAGTGATTCAAATTATCTTTCCAATTTCTATATTATCTTTCTCTATTTTTAGAGAAAGCATTAAGATAATTATAGCTGAAATATCAAAATTTTTAGCTATTTGTTAATCTAGTCTTACTATCAATAGGAAATCTGATAATTAGATTTGGGGATATACAAAACTCAAGTTCTTTGTAAAAATAGTAGACATATATTCTGTGTAAGGTTTTAAACTAATACAGGTTCCACACAAAAATATCTTAGTCTCATATACAATTATATACTCATAAACTAGAAAATTTCATATACTCAACTACATTTAATAAACACAAGAGAGCTAAAAAGGAAATCATTTAGGCAATTACAATTATTAGGTGTATTTCATTTTACATAGGACAAAATTTCATGAGAACTACTCTGGAGAGATAAAAGCTTAGAAAAAAGTCTCGGAAAGTCTATAAAGTCATAAATAATTCAGAGAGAAAACCTGGACTCATTGCTAATAACTTAAAAAATAGTATCCAATAAAACTCAAATAAAGTAGCAATAGAGTAAAAATTATTAGTTTGTTTTTAAGTAGTTAAGTTCGAGTATATCCTCAAATATCCATTAACAGTTAGAACTTAATGTCACAGAATGAAATTATAGACCTTCCTCCCTCAGAAAAGATCTGCTGATACCACTGTCAAACTCAAAAACACTGGTGTAAGATAACATTTTTCATATCCTTAATTTATATTGGGTTCTGTACACACCAGTTTTTCTTTAAAAAAGGAAAAGGAAAAGAAAGAAAAAAATCATAATTTTTTAAAGAAGTTATTTAGGAAAAGCAATGTGCAGCAAATAGTGCACAAAACAAGAGTTTCTGAACTGAACGGTACAACTCATCGGTTTTAAGAAACCTCTAGACTTGTTCTGTAATCTTTGATAGACTGAAAACTCCATGTAAAAACATATAAATAGGCTTACTTAAAGCTTACCTCCTTTTTTTAAAATTTTTCTATATTGAGAAAATTCTTAAGTGGGGAAAAAAAATCTCTATAGGTTAATTTTTGAGATACATATCTAGTAAATACCAAACAGTAATCAAAAGAAAAAAATTTCTCAACCTCAAAGTTGTAATCCACTTTCCTCCCTGCTCTGTCCTCTAAACCCCCAGTTGGTTTGTCATATTTTCTATCTTGCATGCTGCTTTCTTCTTCGGAATGGTAGCTAATAATAAATCTGGGAGAGGATTTCAGCCTTCTAAGACTAGGCCCCTACAAAAATAACTTATGAATATCTATAATTTGTGAGAAACAAATAATAAGCAAATGCTTTTAAGTTTTACAGTTGTAAAATTCTACCTACAAACTTATTAAAAATAATAATAATAAGATGACACATATTTAAGCTTCTCTGTCCAGGGCTCATAGCTCTAATTGCCTGAGGTTTTTTTTTCTTTTTTTCTTAGAATTACACTTATGTTGCATCTCTATGACTATATGTGAAAAATATGACTATGACTATATAGTGTAAAATATGACTATTTTAACTGGGCCTGGTAGACTCATTATGTAGGATATACAAATGATTACAAAAAAGTGACTACTACATGGTAATTTCTCATGATTTACGTAACAACATAATATTTAGTGTAGTCTAAATTGCCAGAAGAGTGGTGGTTCATGCCTGCAATCCCACAACTTTGGGAGGCTGTAGTGGGAAGATTGCTTGAGCCCAGGAGTTTGAGATCAGCCTGGGCAACAACACATCTCTATAAAAAAAATTAAAATTAAAAATAAGTAGTAAATAAACTGCCATAGGGAAGCAACATAGAAATGAGTTCTAGCCTCATAACTGAGGCAATAGAAATCCCAAATATGATTTCTCAAAGTCTTTCAAACAAGTCTTCAGAGCTTTTGAAAGTGATTATAGGCATGCCTGTAGTTATAATACAGACTCATCCACGGGGACTTTTCAAAATGTCATCAATTACCTACCATCCACACATAGAATTAGGTAAAATAGATGCAAAGAAGTTCATGTCATTGGAGGAAAAAAGAATCCCAAAAAAAGACATAACACACTTGGACATTTCTGCTGCATTAGTTACATTAGTTAAGTTTGTCATAATGTTTTAAGGCAACATAGATATAATCTTGTCCCTAAACTAGTATGTCTTGTTCTACAGGAGGCCAAAATGCAATCTGAAGACAGAAAGAAAGAAAAATAGAAGGGAAGGAGGAGAAAGGAGAGAGAAGAGAGGAGAAAGGAAGGGAGGGAAGGGTCTAAGAAGGAAGAATGAAACAACCTAACTTTAGATTATTGTTGTTAGGCTTCTTATGGCACTGACAGACTGATTTCTCATCTATGGGTTAACAAACCTATGTTTTTCAAATCTTCCAACAAATGCTCAAACAAATTTTATAAATGAGTCTAAATTACAGGCTATTAATATTAAAAGCACACCCTTAAAATCAAACATAAACAAGAAAAATTACCTCACTAACACAGTAAAGTAACACTAATGTATTTATTAGTATAACAGTTGTTGCTAAACAACAGTTTAGTAAACATTACTCAGTGATATCTAGTATTTTTGTAGGCTTTACAATTTACAATCTACCTTCTAATATATTATCTCAATTTGATCTACAACAATCTTGATATTTAAAATGCCTATCTTTAATTTTTTTAACTATTGGAAACTGTGTTTTATACATCTGAAAATAAGCAGGGCAATTAAAATTGAGTTTGACATTTTATCGTCGACAAAATAATACTTTATAAAATTGGCAGGTGAAGGCAGCATTGGTGACAAATTATTACAAGAGTAACTCCAGTGACAAATTACTGAAAGTCTTAAAAATGTAAATACATTACAAGACAATGGTGAACATATGATTTCACATAAACAAAAAAATAGCTAAAATATGATTGTACCCAGCACCCTCTTTATAATACCATTCTTTTATGGTTGAGCATTTCAAATGTTATAAAGAGGAGTTGTTTTTAACTTGAGGGCAGCTATTCTTAATTCTGTGGTGTTTTTAAACTGTGTATTTATAGGAGAGAGCCTTATAATGAGGGTGGAGAGTATTAAAAGCCACACTACACACACAATAGGCCATCATGCATTTTAACCCATTATTAAACTTACCCCTCTTTTGAGGCTTCTGAAAGAAGGAATTCTGGGCTTCCCTGTTTTTATTTCATTCATACAATAATGCACGGGCTCAATGGAGAATGTGAGAAACTGGGACCCATTAGGAGTACTGGATGTGAATAAACTAGTAGGGGTTAAGGGTGGGGACTGTGGCTAATATGGAAATAAAGAAAGGAATCAATAAGCCAAATGTGCATAGTTTTTTCCTAAATGAAAATTCTATTTTTGGCAACATACTTTTCACAAAATAAATCTCAAATAAAGTTTTCTGTAAAAATATTATGAGAAAGTAAACATAGTTTTGCCCAAAACTATCATTTAAAAAAATCAAATTTACTTTTTAAAATGTACCATTTCACTTGATTACTTTTTACATTGGACAAATTAAAAATACAGAGTACACACATTATATTGTCAAAGAAAGCAATATGGCCTAGATTTTAAAATTCTCTTCTAATTTCTAGAATATTAGCACTACCATGGTACTTGTCAAGAAATAAAGCTGGCAGCTACACCTAAAGTTATCTAAACAGGTAATGTCACACATAAAATATTAAAACTATAACTGATTATTATCAAAAATAGGCAAACAACTTTTCATTACATTAATGGCTTTCCTCTCAGGCTGTTTCTATTTCATCCTTATTTCACCTTTTTAATTCCAGTATTCCTTCTATATCTAAGCTCTTCTAGCTACCTTGATCTGACTAAAACAGGTTTTACCTCTCAACTTCTTGACTGGACAATATTATTAAAAGCATAAATAAAGCATGAGTTAATTATAATTGTGCTTTTAAAGATATAGGTATATTATAATGAGTTAAATTTTAATTTTATCTACACTCATATGCCATGATCAAAAAATGAATTAAAATAATCAAGTAGACTTTAATAAATATAGTGCATCAGATTAAAAGTATTTCTCTATTCTCCTCACTAATAAGACACTAGTACAACCATTTAATTGATAAGAAAGACAAAGCACCCATCTATTTCATTTGCTCACATGCTGACCTAGATCTATCTAAAATAAAGAGCACATCAGAAGGCGGGTTCTAACAAGAAGTCAAGAGTGAGATTCTCTTACCAAACTAGAAATTGTTTTAAACTTCAATTAACCAAGAAGACTGAACTCTTCCCATTAAAAACTCATATGGATGATAAAAATAATTTCAGTAGTATGATCTGTCAAACCTAATTTGACATGTGTTATGGCTGTGGTCAATCATTCATTCCATTTGAGAATTGCAATTTTAGTGGTATTTTAGTTAGATCATGTTTCCTTAAAAATTCTGATGGAAACTACATACAAATGAAACTTCAAAAGCATATAATTTAACTAGATATTAACAACTTTGTTAATACTCTTACCCATTATTAAGTGGTAATCAAATGTTAAATCCATAAATAACTGTTACTATTAAGGTATTTCTAATATAAGTGAAAGGTTAACTGAATCATTCAAATTGAAAATATTTATTCTCCATTAATGGTAAATCATTTTCCATTCAATACCCACACTGTTTTAGTTGGTACACTTAAACTGATTAGCATATAAGAATTTTATGACTTTTACCTTTGGTTTCTTTCCAAAGAGCCACAATTTGCCCTTGGCCTTTCCTACTGTGGTTTTGGCATCCATCTTCCCACTCTCCTGTTTGGATGCACTGATAGTCCCATCAGAAATGGTTCTATATATATGTTGACTGTAATCTTCAAATGGAAAGTCTCCTGGAGGTTCAAAACCAGATTTGAAGGAGTCTACCACCATTTGAGAGTCCTATACAAAAGAAACTAAGTTTTAAAACTGTTTCACTTGCTCATAATTCTACATTAGCTTTCATACCTTTATTCAGTAGAAGAAAACAACAAATATAAGTTTAAATAAATAATTCCACAGTAATCATTAAAGTAAATAATTTATTCCCATGAATGTGTAACAAACCCAAAATATTTTAATCCCAATATACTTGCAAATTACCACTTAATTAATTTATAATATTCATAAAATGTTTTTACTTGGTAGCTTTAATGACCTGAAATTCATCTGAAGACTACTTAGCTGAAAAAGACCTAACTGACAAAAAGAATACAGAAAGAGGTTATTATCAAGTAGAAACGTTGAGAAGTTTCAAAGCAAAAAGGTTTTTTGCTTTAAAAGACAGATGCCAACAAAGAAGCTAATCTTTGAAGTAAGGAAAGAACATCTAACTGTAAAAGAGAGTAAAAGATGAGTAGGAAAAGCTTTCTAACTAATTCAACATGGGAAAAGACAAATACATTAAATACATACTGTGGAATGTTAACAGAGCAACAGGGGAAAGATCTCATAAACACTACTGAGTACAAAAAAACGTTTGAAAGTAAAGTCTAATATCATGTACTTAAAATTTTTAAACTCACAGAAGTATTGTTTTTAGATATACATACCTCTACCTGAATGCTTTACTGACATCTTAAACTCATTATTTTCAGAGTATCTCTACAAACTCCTTCCCATCCCTAACAACAACCTCTCCTCTTCTGTTGCCGATTTCCGTTAACTGTATATTTTGCCCTTTAGTCAAAAGTCATCCTTAAAAGTCATAGCTTACTTTTGTCAGTAATGCTACCCTCAGCAATCATTTGCTTAGGGTAATTAGAGAGAAAAGGGCTCTAATGATATTGTATAAACCTGTATCCAGCCATGCTCAAATAATATATGCACTTTGGAATTTCCAGTTAAAGAAGCCAAAAACCCTCTTTTCTAAATTTAAGAATTCTATTAGCTGTTACAGAAAGGATCCTCACTAATATAATATCTACTTCATAGGTTCATTAAGACTAAAATATGTGGCACATATCTGATACCCTCCAAACACCAGTTCTCTTCTCTTGTCACTGCTTTTCCTCAGTTTCTGCCAACCATGCTTTTTGATCACTCAATCAACATTTACTGAGATAAAAGATCACTAGTCCTTAATCAAGATACAATGTGATTACCTATATTTCCCCAAGGGGAGGCGGCCTATGCTGTTTCATCTGCACATAATGCCTCCTTCCTCCTCCTCATGGGTCATCACTCCATATGCTACCCACGTTTCTTGATCCAGCTCAAGTGCTAAAGGCAACTCTGACCACATCCTTCTCTAAATTTTCACTAAACAAATAGTATAACACAATTTGTAACACACAGTTCCTAGGTTAGACTCTTTGATAAGAACTGAAAACTTAGTGGGAGAAGGGAGTTAGAAATCTTTTTTTTTAAAAGAAAGAATTAGAACTTCTGCATTTAGAATGAACTTAGAACTCAAAGGAATCTATTGCAAGACATTATGCTACAGAATATAATTTAGAATCACACATCAGATTGCTTTATCCCTTTCTCAACTCATTTCACTAACTTAAACTGCACACCTAAACCAAACAGATGCATTCAAAGATAATTATGTAGCACTTACTCTTCTTTCATCAACAGATTTTGCTGCAAGAATCATTCCTTCCAAACATTTTGAAATGATAGGAATAACTTTGCGTTCTGAGTCAGCAAATCCTCTGTAACACTCACTGAGTTTAATAGTCCTTCGTTCGTCCATTTCTTGTAGTTGCTAATAATCAAGAATTTTTTAAAAAAGAGAAAACTGAATTTTTCAATCATTCTAAAGGAGATCAATTAGTGATCCCCCACCAACAAATAAAGATTTCTACCCTCATAGTTACGCTGTTGTTGTTAATACCTTTTAACAAGTGTTACTGACTCATAATACTTAAAACCTGAGGTGTGGTAAACAGCAAAATAAATTAAAAAAAAAAATAGTAAGGCTCTTAATATTGTTTTCCTAGAACCAGATGACACTGGGATTCCAGCCTTCTAAAAGGATCCCTTACTGGCTATCAGCTCCCTGCCCCATACTACTGCCACCTTTTACTCTTCAATCAGAGTATTTCTTGTTTATGCTTCCAGGAAACACTTCATTTGATGACAAAATTCTGGTGCTTTTTAAAAAAACTTTTTTATTTTTTAATTTTTTTTTTGGGCAATTGGCCCATAACATATACAAGTCTGAGATTTTTTTTTTTTTTTTTTTTTTGAGGCAGAGTCTTGCTCTGTCACCAGACTGGATGGAGTGCGGTGGCGTGATCTTGGCTCACTGCAACCTCCACCTCCTGGGTTCAAGCAATTCTCCTGCCTCAGCCTCTCGAGTAGCTGGGACTATAGGCATGTGCCACCATGCCCAGCTAATTTTTGTATTTTTTAGTAGAGACGGGGTTTCACCATGTTGGCCAGGATGGTCTCCATCTCTTGATCTCGTGATCCGCCTGCTGGGATTATAGGCGTGAGCCACTGCCCCGGCCAAGTCTGAGACTTCTAACCTCAAGTTTATTCAGGATACTTTGGTAAGACCTGGCTGGACCAACAGTCCATACTCATTGTTTATCAACAGGTACCCAGACCTACTGCAGTGTACGGCTCAGAGCTGGGAATACATGAGGAAAAACAGGAAGTCACAAGCTCAAAGTGGCACATAAAGAATCCTCACAACTGAAAATTCACTGGCACATGCCACTAGGAAATATGTTGGAACACATGAAGTCCAACAACTTAAAGGCTTTTTTTTTTTTTACATATCCTATTTGCCAGCACTGACCTTTCTGTTCGTTGAAAGCAGTTACACTGCTTGTGTCCCCAAACTCCCACAGCCTAGGACTTTGAGACCTGTATTTTCACAGAAGAATTGCTCCATAGAAAGGTCCAAATGTAAGTATCAGGCCCAAAACACAAAAGGTAGTTTATCTCCGAGTTATAGTTTCCCCAGAATATGGAGACTTAACTATTAAGCCTAGAAAAGCACCACAGTGAAGACTGGCAGGCTTGGTCCTCTGGATTCAGTGACCAGAATTCTGGTTCCCACTCCAGTTCACCAACTCTCACTGTGCTTCCTTTGTATTTCCAACTTGCCTTATAAAGAGGAAAAAGGATACCTGGGCTGACATTCTTCCCATGTAAGCTCTGCTCTTTGAGATACTACCTCATCAACACTGTTTTACTAAATCCCTTTTCTGTAATTTCTCTTCTTTCTAGAAAAGGCAATTAAATAATTTAATCCTCATGAAAATTCTGAGGTCTTTTTTACCTGAGGCTGTTTTGCAACTGTTATCATCAAGTGATGACAGACAGGATTTATTAGCAAGCTCAAAGTCTGAATTACATTTATCATCTAACAGAGTCAGCATGACAAGCAGGCAAAACCCACACTAGCAAATACATTTTGTAAGATTTATTTCTGCCATCTGGACTGATGCCAATGACTCTGGTTTGGTATAAAAAAGCTACATCTCAATTCTAGGTGAACAGATTACAATACACAAATGCAATTAATTCTTCTTTGTCATGTCAAAACACTTAATGATACAGTATTTACATGTTTCTTACAAATGTCATTGTTTAAGTAAACTGTTTATAACACTAATAGTAGATATGTAGGAAAATGTGTGACTTAAAAGTTAGAAAAAACTTGTTTTCAAATCTATAATCATAAAGGAATCTCTCACCCCTAACCTTGATGACTAGTGAATCTAGAAAGATTCTGATGTCTAAGATTTACAAGTTTTATATTTAAACACCAGCTCTTCCAACTCTAAAACTAGATTAACTTCATATCTAAGATTTACCTTGTAAATCTGAGGAATCACTACATAAAAATGTTTGTGTTGTTCTCCATTAAAGTTCTGTAATTGTGCAGCATATTCATTTTTATTTTCATCAGCCATATGTGTGCGCAGATTCAACTGCTGTTTGGCCTAAGGGCAAATTGGTCGAAATTATTACCAAGAACAACAACAAAATCACAACAATTCACTTTTCTGAAAATTATACTAAAACTAGATTTTATCAATGGAGAAGCCAACACCTGACATCAAAAGAATAATGAAGTGGCATGACTCTTTTGAACTATTAATACCATTTAAAATATAAGGAGACACTTGCAGATCTTATTGTCAGAGAGGTCTCCTTATTACAATATTCTTCCCTCCCTCATTACAATAGTATTCTTTGATAGCAATAAGCCACTCTAATATGGACTCTCCTTACCAAATCCAGATAAAAAAATAAACAGATGAAAATCTCATAGTTTGAAACAGTGTGCTTTTAATCAGAAGAGAAAAACAGGTAGCTTTAGGAATATTTTCATATTGTTAAAAAAGTTAACAGTAAAATATTTCTTTATGATCCGCCTATATCCAACTAAAATATGGAACTTAAATCACAGTGAAACTAAATAATATGATTTTTGAATAATGCAACATTCAACAGTGTTTCCACCTATGTGTAGAACCACAGATACTTTAAGGAATGCTTATTTAAGGAATATAGTTCTGTTCCTCTTGATCTCTTGCACAAAGTCAAATTACAACAGTTATTCTCTAATTAGTTATTACCCCATCAACACATCTTAGCTTTCTAACCTATCTTGGAATAGGACAAAAACTCAATTCCAGTAGCAACTACATCTTTCCTCTAAATTTGAATGCAGCTAAGATATTGTAATAAACTAACACATATTGCTTTCTCAGACCAATACGTACAATTTAAAGTTGGCAAATATTTGTATATTTTAGACTTAGATACAGTGTATCTCTTGAGTAAATTCTAATACTGTACTGATGCAAATGTCGTGACTACTTTCCTTACGCAAATAATAATATTTTGACATTAAAGTCGGAGTACTTCTTACCTTTTCAACATCTGCCTTGGTTGCATTAGTATCATTATCCAATCTTTCATAACTCTGTTGTGCCTTTTCTGCCTCTCTACATTCTCTTTCGAACTTCTTTTTACTCTGTTAAAAAAGATTAAAATATCACACTGAGAAAATAAAATTAGGCTAACTTCATTTAAGAAATAACTTTAGATAGCATTAGGAGAAAAAACTAACACAGAGGATGGGTTGATGGGTGCAGCAAACCACCATGGAACATGTATACCTATGTAACAAACCTGCATGTTCTGCACATGTATCCCAGAACTTAAAGTATAATAATTTAAAAAAGAGAGAAAAAAGAAATAACTTTAAAATGTGCCAATGTGTATTGTGTGGAAATGAACTGCACGCTAAGTAAAAGTTGTCCTTTCTAAATTAGAAAATAACTTTCACTATTACAACCAATCCACATTCCTTAAATATCAGACATTACAGACTATGAAGAAAAAAAACATAGGCATGACTGAGTTAATATTTACTATGCATCTCATTCAAAAAATGTGTGTTTTATACTTTTTATGATAAAAAATATAAGTCCTGATCTTCAGGAGGACTTTTTTGGTTTGGTGTTTTTGGTTCAGTTGGTTTGTTTTGGCATTTGTTTTTATATTTTTTTGGTGAGACCCAATGTAGCTTGGGATATGGAGTGTCCCTCCAAAGTGGTTTTGTACTGTTTTTTTCCAAGTGTCTCACGAAGACCATCAGCCCAGACCCCAAATCTTTTTAAATTTTATTTCATTCAAATTATTATGACTTTGTAAAAGCTATTCACAATTAAGCCATATAAAATGTATATCATATTATATTTCCTTTCCTACATAATTTTTTGGAATTCTGGAGTTAATACATGTCTTCATTTTTTCAATTTGCTTAGTTTCCAATGCACTTATCTCTAATTCAACACCGGTTTTTTCCAGTTCTTTAAATCTGTCCGCAGTTAATTCTAACACATTAGGAATTCTATTGATTTTATTTTCTTGATAAATCTCTCCCAAAGGCTTCTAAACTTGCTGAAATTTGAACTCATTAACTAGGCCTAATGCATACTTGTTACCTTAGCATTTCCCTCCCCCATCAACCTGTGGATTCATTTCACCTCTATCTTTGTTTGGATCTCCTATTTCCTAGTTTTATGCTTTTTCCTTTCTTGATTCACTTTCTCATTTTGCTATAACACATTCAGTAGCAGCCTCCTAAAAGGTCTGCAGGAGATAACTGAATCTCCATGGCTAAAAATGCCTTTACCATCATTTTTAATCAACAAAATTTGGCTGGATTTAGAACTCTAAGTTGGAAATCATTTTCCTTCAAAAACTTAAGAAGTATTGCTCCACTATTCTTCTGGCTTCCTGTGTGACTATCCTGTCTATTCCATTCTGATTCCTGATCCATTGTATAAACCATGTTTATTTGTTTGGGGTTTTTTCTCCCTAGAGGGTGGTAGAATCTTCTCTCTCTCCAAAGTGTTCTGAAATTTCAAGAGATGTGGACCCACTGTGCCAAGCACCTGGAATATCCTTTCCATCTGGAAATTCATGTCTTTCAGTTCTGGGAAAACTTTCTTGAGTTATTTTTGTCCTCTTCTATGTTTTCTCTTTTCTAGTATGTTTATTATTTTGGAAATGAACCTACTGGATGAGTCTTCTAGTTTTCCATATTTTCAATGTCTGTCATTTTGCTCTACTGGGGTATTTATTGAACTTTATCTTTCATTTTTTTCTAGTGGGCTTTTTTTTTCTACTATCATAAAGTTATTTTTTGTTCTTTATATGTTTCTTTTAAAATAATACCTTATTCTTATTTCATGGATGTAAAATTTTCTCTATTCCCTTTGAGAATATTAGCTAACAGCTGCAGGTCTTTTCCTTGTTTGTTTTTGCATTTTAATTTTCATTTCCTTTCACAGTCACATTGACTTCTTTCCTGCATATTAGTTCTGGTCTCTGATGTGCACATTAGATGTCTTCTTTAAATATCTGGGGATCCTTGGATATCTGCTCTTATTTAAAAAGCTGTTGAAAGCTCCACAGATGGGGCTTTATGGATCATGATATTTTCCTCCAGGGTGACATGGCCAGGTAGTTTGTTTCCTTGGAAAAATCTGGCATCAGTTTTTATAAACTTTTTCTCCCTAACTGATTAGATTACCCTGAAAGACTTCCAATTTCTTGCCTGGAAAACTCATACCTTGCAACCTGTGCTCTGAGAATTCCTCAGAAGAAGCAAGCAGGGGATCTCAATATTTTGTATTTATCTAACCTCCTTTATCAAACGAGTTATAACCTGGAAATCCAAGCCCTTAGCAAGTACCAGGTCCAGGAAACCATTATACCTCAAACACCCTGTCCCCATTTTTCCAAATGCCACCGTATCAGCTCAGACACCTATTGCTCTGGATTTGTTTACCCATGGTTCCCTAGTAGCTAGCAATTTCCCTTTCTTTCAAGTAACTAAGAGTTTAAAATACAATTTTAAAATACAATAGCTGTTATATGGAGCCATTTGTAGTCAAAAGATTTCTTAGTTCAGTTTGTAATATAGTTATAACCAGATAGGCCTATAACTTACATCAAATAAATGCGCTCTAGAATTTTTTACAAATTTATTTAAATGTAGGCTTTATTCTATACAGGTATTTTGATTAGTATAAGACACCAAATGAGATACTTGTAATTTACTCGAAGCCCCTGAAATATACAAATACTCATACATAAAGTCACTTTGCTATGAAAATTAAGTTACCACATTACATTCTCTGAAACTGAGTTCAGAACAGTATTTTCCAAACAAGCAACTACAGGCTACTAATTTTGGTGCAAACTGAGGCTACTTATATACAAAAGTATTTTTATATTTGGTATCTTATTTGTGGAAAAACACATACCTAATAATTCCTTGCAAAAGCAAAAGAACTAGTAGTACAATAATATTAAAAATGTTCCTTCCCTGAAAGATAATATAACATTACACGATATAGAAATATACTCCAGAAAAGATTTTTTTCCCTTCATCCTTGGTGTGGCAGATGAAGAACAGCCACTTCTACTCCCCTACTCTTGCTTAGCAGAGCCTGCCCTCCAATACAGAGGCAGAAAACAGTTAATACTTGCTGTCCTAGACTCCCCACAGCCAGGGCAGAGGTAAGTAATCTAATTCTGTCAAAGGCACCCAGAGGAAATTTGCTGGGGACTTTCTGGGAAAGTTTTCCTTCCCTGATAAAAAGGGATAGTTGGAAGTGATTCCCACCTCTGGATGAAACTGAATGAGGATATGGTGTTTAGCTGTTTAAGCCTACTGTTGACCTTAAGGAGACATGGCTGAGGAAGAGAGCACCTGGTCAAGATGGCAACATAGACAGATGAAAAGGAGATGGAGCCTGGTGACATCCTTGGGCTACTGACTAACTATGGAACTGCTCCATTTCTGAGCTGTGCTCTTATAAAATTGCATGCTCTGTTACTTGGAGCCTCCTAACTGATGGACCTGGCATCTCTGATGCTTCTGTCTTCTTAATCTCTGACCATTCCTTTAAGACCTCCTTTACAGGCTCTTCTGTCCTGACCTTAAATGCCAGTACTGCCTACTTTATTTATCCCAAGGTTAATAACTGTCTTTTAATTTTTTTCCTCAATTTTTAATACTCTGTCACTAATTCAACCTGTCCACCAGTTCTTTACATTGCCTCACAATTATTTCAAATGTGTTAGGAATTCTACAGTTTCATTTTCTTGACTAAACAGGAAGACATGGAACTAGGAAATATGATCCTACATTTGTTTCTACATATTAAACAGAAATTATATTGGTTAGTTTGCCTCACTAGACTGCAGGTGCTACAAAAACAAGAACCATGTCATACTTACTTTTGTACCTCCAGAGTACATGTCAAGGATACTTTTCAATAAACACAAGTAGAGCTGAACTCACCTTTTTTTATAGTATTGTTAATGCCTTAAAGAAATCTCTCCTACATTTTTGATGCTTCTTTCTTACGACCTCTAAAACTTTCGCTTAACAACTGTCAATTGTTCTAAAGGCAAGTTGGCACCTATTAAGAATAATCTGTGCCAACACCAATTTTTAAAGGAACCAACGACTCATGAATGTAGGAGTATGTTATTTTGTGCAAATGAAAACACACACACACTCATTAGGTGGTAGATACTAAGGATGATAGTAAAGGCAATTTAAAACTTAATCAACATAAATACTTTGTAAAGTCTTGCTGAAACCAATTAGAAAATCGAAATGAAAATGAAAACAGATTATTAATATACCTAAGAACTCTCAATCAGCACTGGTGATTAGAATATTACATCAATGATAGTTACATAGTAGAAATGTAATCAAAGTTTTGAATATGCATTTTTAAAAGGGAAAGAAAACAGGCTGAACGCAATGGAAGTATATGCATGAGATTTTTAATCTCCAACTACTTTTTCTAACAAGCACAGGCTAAACTGATTAACATGGAAAAACTCTCTTCGGCATAATTTTCAAGGAATACGCAGTGCCAACCAGAGAAACATGCTAGTAAAGAGTAAACTGTTCAATAACTTGAGGGTTCAAAAAGAATATCTTATACTACAGAATATCATTTAATAGAGCTTTTTTTTTTTTTACTCTAATCCCATGACACAGATTATAGAGCATTTTATGTAAAGGCAACTGCAGTGTTCCATGTGAACATCTTGTTTTTCAAATTATTCATGTACTAGAGCATTTAAGAAAAACTACATGAGGAAGTGCCTTGGGGAAATTTTTAAGTAAATAATTATTATGCCTTTATAATTTTGCCCTACAAAGTACTTTATTTCCTACATTGGGATGGTCTCTATTAGCAGGCCAATATCAGGAGCATTTATAAAATTATACAATGACTGAACTGGAAGAAACATTTCATATTATCTCGTTCACTCTCTTCATTTTTCACATGCTAAAAAATGAAGTCAAGAGAAATCAAGTGCTAAGTTAAAGGTAGAAAAAGAACCTTGATTATTCTCAGTCCTCAGTCAAATGGTCTTCTAAGACATATCACCCTTGCCCTCTTACTTCTATCCTCTATTAATACTTTATAGTAACTACTTTAAAGTAAAAAAAAGAAAGAAAGAAAGAAATCTCCTTAAATGTTCACAATGATTGAGGATTATAGAGTTCTTAAGTATAGAGTTATAAAGGTCAAGAAAAATGACAAAATGATCTCACATCCTCTATTTACACTATATTGACTATTATGCAATAATACCAATGTCAAATTATTAATAATACACTGAGAAACATTAAAGTCAAATAGATATGAAGCATAAAAGAATTTAGGGCTAATCTAGTCTACAAGATTTTATGTTAACCATGAAAACATCATAACTCACATTATCCATCTGTTTCCAGCACATGTCAAGATATTGTTGAGCTTTTCGTCCTTCTTGCAGATGCTGAAGATTATAACCATGGCCAAAAAAACAAAATAAAACAAAACAAATAAAAATAATTACATTTAAACACTAAAGTCTAAAGTCCCCAAAAGGCTTTTCACTTTATTTTTTTTTTCAAGGTACTAATTATAACTTTATCAAGACTTAGGAAGAAAGCAAAACTTCCTAAAAATGCATTTTATAGGATATTGTCTTAATACTTTAAATATAACCTTGAAAACAAGCACAATTTTCAGAAAAATAATGATTGTCTTGAACTGTGGATGACAAACATTTTTTATAAAAGTTCAGATAAATACTGTAGGCTTTTAAAGCCACACTGTCTCTGTGACACTCAACTCTGCTAATGTAATGCAAAAGCAGCCACAGGCAATATAAAAGTCAATGAATGTGGGTCTGTTCCAATAAAATGTTATGTATGGACACTAAAATTTCATATAATTGTCAATGTCATGAAATATTATTCTTTTTTCAACCATCTAAAAATATAAAAATCATTCTTAGCCTATGGCAACTAGCAAACAAAACTAAGCACTAGGTTGGGTTTGGCCCATAGGCTGTAGTTTGCCAAACTTAAATCCAAAAGAATCATAAATTAGCAAGAGTATTTTGTGATAATTTTTAGCTAGAAGAAATGTAGTGAAATAGAAAACCAGTTTATGCTGAACACACATTTTTTAAAAAAAGTACTTCTGTGCAACTATTTCATATACTACTGCAATTGGATGAAAATTGTAAGAATTACCATTTTTCTTTCAGTTTTCAGATCATGAGCATATCTCATTAATTCACCATATACTCTGTGCGCCATTTCTTCTGCTACAACTTCTCGCTGTCCTGCATAGTCATTTAACTCATTAAGGATATTAAAAAAGGCTACACACGAGGTAAACCTGGCAAAAACATTTCAAAATGGTGAGACTTAATTTTATTTTCATTACAAATGTTGGTGAGGTATGGACTGAATCTAACATTTCACAAATTTTAGCATATTCAACCTAAATCTCAGCTACTAGTTCTAAATTAACTTCATATGGAAAAAATCCTGCATTACGCTCAAGTTGCACACGTCTGTGTATCTTCAAGTAGTCTTTCATTTATTAGTAAAGGGATATTGGGGGTCAAAAAATAATAAGAATACTACCTGCAGGCTCTTTTGGCATACTGGAATCTCTTAAGTTGCCAACTGACTGGCCTGAGCTTGGGAATGAACTTGGTTGGATTCCTAGGCTTGGCAGCTGAACCTGTTGCAGAGATGATGTGCTTGCCAAATGCATCTCGATGGCTGATCTACAGAACAATTTTGCTATCAGCTCTGGACACAGCTGCCTGTATGCCTGCCCATATCCTGAATGGAAGTGAAGTGCCATTATATTGACACCAAAGGGGATAGAAGGGTCAAAAATAAGGGTAAAAACGTGTGTGAGGGAAGGAGAGAAACAAAGAGAATCACTGTATTAATGTATATATCTACTTTGAACATACTGCGGAACACTCTCTTACAGCTGAAGATTAACAGCTCAGATAGGACTCCATTAACACTAAACCTGAGAATCCTAACAACTGACAATTATATACAGAGTTGTTTGTTCGTAAGTCTAGTCTCTTCTTGTTTCTGCATCTAACCAATCATCCACATATTCCTCTTTAAGACCACCAAAAAACTCATAAGTGATTTCTAACCTTTTTATTTATTTCTAACGCAAAAACTCTCAGTGCTTTCTAACATCCCTGTATACCAATTAGTCAAATTGTTTTACTACCTATAAAAGTAAAAGCAAGAATCTAAGAAGCCAACAACTATGTAACAAAGTGTGGAAAATATTCTTTTCTTCTGCAGACTAAATCATTCAAGTGGAGTCCTAGTCTACATTTTAATTGAAAATCTGTATTTGACTATTCTAGAAAACCACTGATCAAGCCCACCGCAGTATTTATCCTCATAAAACATTAACAGTAGTTCCCTCTTTCATAAACATTTTTAAATTAAACTTTATAAAATCTTTATAAAAAGCTAAGAATATATTTATCTTATTAAATAATAAAAATATAAGTATTTTTAAATTTTTTAATATGCATTAATGAACAGGTATGTAATTTACCGTGGCTCTTCATCTTTGGATGAACGTTTGGGGCAGTACTTCTTAACCAGATTTCTATAGGAAGAAGATTTTTTAAAATTTATTAAAAATTTCAACTGTTGTTACAATTGAAATAGTCTAAGTTTTCAATTTCATTCAATCATGAATTTTATGATATAAAACAATTAAGACAGCAATATGGTCTCTACTCCATTAACATCATAATATGTAATCATTACTTACATTTTGTTCTTAAAATACTGATATCTGGAGAAAGAAAGGCTATTTCTATATTTTCATATGAATGTAATCACAACAATTTGGTTGATGTTACTATCAAATAAGAAAAGAGTTAAGAGGAAGAATAGAAGAAACAAAGTACAGTTGGCCCTCTGTATTCCAGGGTTCCACAACCACAGATTCAACCATGGGTCAAAAATATTCAAATAAGTAAATAACAATACAGCTATAAAAAGTAATACAAATTTAAAAACCAATACAGCCTAATAAATATTTACATAGCATTTACACTGTATTAGGCAGTCTAAGTAATCTAGAGATGATTTACAGTATGAGGAGAATGTGGGTAGGTTATAGGCAAATGTTATGCCGTTTTATACAAGGGACTGAGCATCTTTGGATTTTGGTACTCATGGGTCTGGGAACCAATCCTCCTGAGGAACAATTACACTCAGTATGTGAAACTGAGTCAGGGCAAAAAGAAACATTTCAAAGAAATATCATCACTTCTTTTGTTTCACAAACTGGGGGCTTTAATACTAACTAAGGTAAAATGTAATCAGATGCTGACTCAAAGGATAAAACAACAATTTGTCACCATCTCCATAACTCTACTTTTATATGAAAATCATGATGTAACTCCTTACCCTTCTCTTTTCTAGGCAAATGAATTACATTCTGACTTGTAACTATTTTTGCCTTCATCCATGTCTGTTCTTAACATTCTTACAGTAGAATGCTACCTTATTTCATCCTTTCAAAATCAGAAAGAGACTAGCATATGGACTTTGGAGCCAGATTGGACTGACTACCTTTGTTTGAATCCTGGTTTGTTTGTTTGTTTGTTTGTTTGTTTGTTTATCAAGATGGAGTCTCACTGTGTTACCCAGGCTGGAGTGCAGTGGTGCAATCTCAGCTCACCGCAACCTCCGCCTCCTGGGTTCAGGCGATTCTCCAGCCTTAGCCTCCTGAATAGCTGGGATTATAGGTGCATGCAACCACACCTGGCTGATTTTTTTATTTTTAGTAGAGACAGGGTTTCACCATGTTGGCCAGGCTGGTCTCGACTCCTGACCTCAGGTGATCCACCTGCCCCAGCCTCGCAAAGTGCTGGGATGAGCCACCAGCCCAACCTGAATCCTGGCTGTTTTATGTAGTACCTGTGTGACCTTGGACAATGTGCCTAACTTCTCTGTCCCCTCATTTCCTATAAATGGTACAAATAGTACCTACTCCATACAGTCAGGAGAATTAAATGATATAAAGTGCTTTATACCCTGAGTCTCAAAGTATGGTCAACCTGGGTCCAGCAAGGGTCCATAGACTCTTTGGTAACAATCTACAATGAGATAAGTACAGAAGTTGGGATTAACTGTATTTCTTTTGAATCTAATAATTAAAAATTAGGGCCTATATTCTGTATGTCTCTTTTATGTCACGTTTCTAGTATTTAATTTTTATTGTATTTTACTGTATATTACAATACAAAATACAATACAAAAATTTATATATCTATAATATAAAATTTACAATACAAAAATTTATATAATATTTTACTGTATTTTACAAAAGTACACAATGGATTGGAAATTAAAAGAAACTGGTCCATCATAACAAACAATTTGAGATGCACTGCTTTAAACTATAAGCAGTTTTAAAGTAAGTGGCCCTACTATCTTTCAATACTATAAAAGAATCACTGTCTTAATTATTCTCAGATTAGTATCAATTACTTCCACTAGAATCAATTTATTCATTCTACAAATTGTCTATTATGTGGTAAGCACCATGCAAACTACTAGGAGCATCATAAATAAAAGAGGACCCATGAGCAAGAGACTTATACTCTATTGAAAGGAGACAAGTATACACCAATAATTGTAATATAGAGCATGGTAAGTGCTATGATAAAGATATACGAAGAAAAGGAAGACCTAACACCCAGAGAGGGGTGGATAAAGAACAGGCAAGACACTGAGAAAAGAGTTCAGATCAACATGTATTGAGTTCCTACCACCAAGAAACCCACAGTTGTCACTGATTGTAAAGTTAGAGACAACATGAAAACATTAGCACTTCAACCACTCTAGGGTGCAACCATAGCTCACTGTAGCCTCAAACTCCTGGGCTTAAGTGATCCTCCTGCCTCAACCTACCAAGTAGCTGGCACTACAGGCACACACCATCATGCCTGACTAATAATATCTATATATACTTTTTAAAGATACAGGGTTTCACTACATTACCCAAGCTGGTCTCGAACTCCTGGCCTCAAGTGATCCACCTGCCTTGGCCTCCCAAAGTACTGGGATTACAGGTGTGAGTCATCCTTCTTGGCCTTCAAAGCTTTGCAGATATTTAACATGTCACTACATTAATACATGTACATAATTTACAAACTGTGCAGTCATATGCTCAAACATTTTTTACAGGTGAGCAATAAAAAGTTCAGAGATCTCTGGTCTAGAGAAATCAAATATATGGACACTCTTATATAACATAATATGGTAAGAACAATAGAGGGCTCTGTAAAGAGGGTTCCCCAGGGGTAGAAAGCTAAAATTTCTGATTTGCTGACTGAGCCTAAAGAGATAAACAGGAATTGGGCAACTGGAAACCCCTGGGGGGAGGATTCTGCTCATTAGTGAAGATCTAATGAGCAAAGACAAAGAAGTGGGGGAAAACAGAGCATTTAAGAACTGTAAGTGGGTTCAATGTTGCTGGAACATCAAATATGAGCTAGAGAATTACAAATAGTTAAGGTTGAAAAGTAAGTGGGGAATGAAGCAGAGACCCTTCTAAAGTCATATGAAGGAACTCTGAATAAATACTCTTGACCAGTGGTTATTAATCCTGGTTACCCAAACACTATCAAAACTCACTGTTGTGAATGAGTTAATTTACTAATTCACCCAAATATCAGCAAAGCTACTATCTGCTATAAATTAATTACTTCAGATACTAGGCTGACAGAAAGAAAGGGACGAGTCACAGTTAGCAAACTAGTAACTGGGCATGACCTACAGTCCTTTCTACAAAAGAACTCAAAAAGGAAGAAGGGGAAAACATGATGAACAGAATAATTCACTAGAATAGGCAAATTCAGAGACAGAAAATAGATAATGGTTGCTAGTACATGGAGGAGAAGGAAATGACTGCTAACGGGTACAGGGTTTTCTTTTGGGGATGATGAAAATATTCTAAAATTCAATCGTGGTTATGGTTGCAAAACTCTGTAAATACACTAAAAAACCATTCAAGTGTATGCTTTTACCAAGTGAATCTTACAGCATATGAATTGTACCTCAGTAAAGCTTCTATAGGAGAAGGAGTGGCAGTTGCATAGGCAGTCCATCTGCCACAGGTACCTCTATTCAACAAGTCTAAAATGAAATTTATCTGCTTCTTAATCTTCTTTTACATACCTCTTTTCTTACATTAGTGGCACTACCAACCATCTAGAATCTAGACATTTAAGCCAAAAATTTGACAATCATCCTACACTTTCCCCCACCTTAACACGTTCAATCCCTACAGATTCTATTTCCTAATTAACTTTTTTAAAACAATAATTTTTATAATAAAAAGGAAAAAATACACAAAGAGAAGCCCTGTCTTGTGACTACTTTATAAAATTGTTTTGTATACAGATGTGGGAGGACAGACTGCTGGACGCTACTGCAATATCTTGAAACCATGAGGGGAAAGACCAAGAGACGTACGATAATGCCCTGACATCATTGCTGAGCTCTAGAATGCCACTTCCAAATTTGTTACATAAAATGACTCTATTACGTGAAGCTGAAAGCTTCTTAACTGACACTATAGAAGAGTTAAATAAAAATGCCTAGTAGAGATATATAGTAAAAACTAGAACTCTGAAGAAACTGCTGGGATCATGATGCAGATATGAGGGTAAACGTGTAAAGACAATAACAGAAACAACAAGGAGTTACCATTTGTCATCCATGTATTATTTGCCAATCTTAATGCTAAACTCTTTATATATAATCTTATGCTTACAACTGCAAGCAGATATTATTAGCCTGACTTTACAGGACTCAGACATATTAAGTGACTTGCCCACAGTCAAATAGCCAGTAAGTGACAAAGCCAAAACCTGCCTCAAACCTGATGCCAACACCTGAGATGGTTAAAATAATGAATGCGAATGAGGCTACTGAAGAAGTATGAAATGAAAGGTAGCTAGAGACCATCTATGAACACAAATTTAACAGGGAAGGAAGAAGAGCTACTTCAGAAGAACAATAAGGACGAACAGCTAGGAAGATTCGAGGTAAACAAACTATGTCCTACCACCTATTTTTAAAACAAAATTTTATTGGAATGCACTACACTAATTCATGCACGTATTGTCTATGGCTGCTTTTGCATTACAACAACAAAGCTGAGACAACCAAGTTGAGTAGACATATGGGTAACAGAAAACCCAAGAGTCTGTCATTGAAAAGAAGGGATTTCTTTTTTAAAGACGTTCTCAGACACGCCAGGTGAGGTGTCTCACGCCTGCAATCTCAGTGCTTTGTGAGGCCAAACTGGGAGGATCCCTTGGGGCCAGGAGTTCGAGGATGCAATGAGCTATGATCATTGCCACTGCACTCCAGCCTGGGAAAGACAGTGAGACCCTGTTCCTTAAAAAAAAAGAAAAAAAGAAGACAAGACACTTTGGGAGGCCAAGGCAGACAGATCATTTGAGGTCAGGAGTTTGACACTAGCCTGACCAACATGCTGAAAACCTGTGTCTACCAAAAATAAAAAAAATTAGCCAGGCATGGTGGCGCACTCCTGTAGTCTCAGCTACTCAGGAGGTTGAG